TGGTGTGTGTGGTCGCTGATCATAAATATAACCAATTGGAGAATCTCATGTTCAGCTTTTTGAAAGATCCAGTGGAAAAGAACGTTAAAGACACGATAAATGTGTTCGTACCGATGTTAGCGAGGAGTGCTTTGATGGCTGGTATGTATTTGTGTTTTTAGGGTAAATTTAAAATGTACAGTCGCCTTCGTTCGCGGTGTTGTAGTTTCAAATTTTACACACAACAAACTTAAACAGCAGCCCTGTTTACAAATTTAAAATAAAGCTTTTATAGATTTTAATCATAAAAAAATGATAGTCATCATACCTTATTTCATACTTTTAAGTCATTTTGATTCAAAGCATACAAATTGTTAAAACGTACCACTTTAAATGTTACAATACAACCAAACCTCACTGTACATTAAGTTATTATATCATTTAATTGCTTTATGTATTAAATTATAAACTTTCGTGAGACATTTTATAATTAATTATTTACGGCTTACTCACGTATACTTTTCTTTTTCCGGTGACGACTTTATGTATGTTTAAAAAAAAATATTTCTTGCAGGAAAATTCTCATCAGATTTATGCAACCGTGTTATGTCGAATTTAATAAAATCCAGTACTGATAATGAATGGAAGAGTTTATCATTAAATTTAGAAGTGATTAAGAATCTAATATTAGCGAAGTTAGCTTACGTGATAGATGTACAAATAGTTAGGGATGTTAACTTAAGTAACTGTGATATAAAAACAATTAATTTGCAAGACGTGTCGTTGTGCAATGAAAACTTTATCGATGTACAGTGTTATATTAATGATGGTGACGCAAAGATTTTATTGTTATCTATGAATAGTTTAGTTAAGGACCCTTCGGTTAGATGGATGGAGCTTAATTGGTTTATTGACTGGTGAGTTTTTTTTATCAACACTCAAATCTTTCTTGATATAGAAGTGCCTGTCCCACCAAATTGTAAATTATCTGATAATCCAATGTGTAAAATATGTGATAGAAATATCAAATTTTGTTCCCTTGTCTGACAGTGACATTTTAAAGCTATCTGAGCCTCTATCAGTCAGTGGTGGGACAGGCCCTAAATGTGTCTTTGTTTTACATAGTTTAAAAGTTTATTTCGAAAGTAATTTATAGATTTAGTAGACGTCACAATATAATGTATATCATATTTAAAAATAATTTTGTGGTCCAAATAGATATTGACTTTTTTATTTTAATCTTTGTTTTTAGATATAAAGTACACTTTTGTATTAAGTTAATGTATATTTTCTTTGTTATAATTTAGTATTCTACATATATTTTTCAGGATAAGAAAAATGTTAGAAATCGTAGGCAGCTGTAAGGCATCAAACCATCCAATGGTGTACGAGCTTCTAATTACACTATTTAATAGTTACATAAATAATTTTGGATATCATTTCGCTTGCAACATATTGAAGCCATTATTTATTGAAATTATAAGTGACTTGGAGCAGAGAATGGAGAAATTGGATACAGTTAGTTTGGAGAGTACTGTTGTTATGGGTATATATTTGGCTTCAGTTTTAATAGCGGTAGAAGAAGGCCCATCACAGGCGGAGTTTTTACAAAAGTAAGTAATTTTATTACTATCGGTCTATGAAAACGCACACATTTTTAGTTTGGTTATGACAAATTCTTGCAAAGTTTTAAATTGAATGTTGTGATATTAAAAAAATGTTTATAACGATGTTTTTTAATATTTCAGATGGATTGTGTACAGCAGTATACGAGGGCTTCCTCCTAAAATATTTTCAATGCCATTAAAGTGGCTGGCAACACATAGACCTGAAGTACTCAGCTTCTTCTGGCAACATTTACGAGAATGTAAGTATACTTTCGATGAATAGAAAATAATAGAGTTTGAAAATACCTGATGCCCCATAAATTACAATGCTAAAAAATTCACTAATATTCAACCTAAGTACAATCAGGAAGTTTTTATATTTTTATATTTGTATTTTTATTTGCGCTTTTATATTTTTATACATGAAGAAAAGGTTGTTTAATAAAATTAACTACATTTTTAGTATTTTTCCAGTGGCAAAGTAATTGGTTTGTAACAAGGCTGGAATTTGTTGTGTAGATTAAGACATTTATTAGTGGAGTATTTATTTTTGTTTATTTACATAATTCAGAATAAAAGTATAAAATCTTACAATTAAAAATGTCGCCAAACACCAATTTCTTATAAATATATGTACCTGAATGTATTTATTCTTATATATTTACATCTGTTATAATTTGGAAGAAATGTTTTCTTTAATTATTTTAAATCGAAGGGGTCTGACTGTACATTAATAGTGCAAGTTTGCGATTTGCTATAGAAGTGATGTTTTATCAGTCAGTGGCAGCAGTTGCGGGGCGGGCATCCGCGCGTACATCGGCGCCCTGCTCGCGGAGATGCTGAACGTGGCGCACGTGAGGGAAGACTGCATAGAGCGCCAGCTGCTGCCGGCTGTCGTCGCGCTGCTCTACGATGAAGACGTGTGAGTTTACCTAACTAGCTCGGACTACGCCCGCGTCAAATTAAAAAAATAGCCCATATTACTCACAGATTATTACCTATCTAACGGTGAATTTTTGAATTATTTCAATACATACAAGTAAATCTTTCCCCTTTATAATATTACTAGCTGTTCCCGTGCGACTTCATCCGCATAAAATTATGCATTTTTTATTGTTTACATGTGTGTAATTATCGATTGCAAATGTCAAAATGACATGACATGATGACAAACCATGACAACCTTGCTTCCTTAATGTTGGCAGCTTGTAATTTATGGTCCCTTTCCCAAATGAAGGTTTTTTCCAGTTTATTTATCGCCCAAGTTTAATAGCATAAAATATTAAGCGTGTCGTAAGTGTAGGGCTTTTTGTTAAAGAAATAGTTATTTGAAAACGTGCAGTTATTGCTGACGTCCTACGCCACAAAGTAGCGTGTGTTTACGCTTTATTATATCGATGGGTGAAAAGTTATTTGTTTTAAGCGCCATTAGGTTAAATCTTCAGGAGAGCTATTTAAAGTGTTTAGGAAAAAAGCATACAAAAAAATTTCTGAAAATAATTTAAATTTAAAGATTTTCAGACGGATTTTAGATTAAAAATATAATTCTGCATACTTCATATTAACGACGCAGAAAAATCCACCTATTCTATATATATTACATGTACGTCATTATCGCCTAAAATGGCGGTTGAAATAAATAGCCTTTCAC